TTAAAAAAAGTGTGAGCTTATAACCAAGTTGTGAAATAAGTATAATAGTGGGGAGAAGTGGGGCTGTGAAATAGTGGGACATTGGGCCTGTAGTTGACCCTGGTGACTAATGTTGTATGCTGCCACGCCTAATCCAAGTTGGGTTTTATAAAAACTAACTTGTTGGGCCTTGTAGTTGGGCCTTGTAGAGAGAAACAAGCTTGCGGTTGGGTTTGAGATCTCAGTGTGAGCGTGAAGAGTATTATATCTGTAGAAGTCTCAGATTCTTCACACGGTGGACCTTCTCCAAAATCCAGTCAGACAAGTGCTTATCCAATCAACACCACTAAGTGACAATCTCGATCAAATTGGAGCTTCTTTTATCAACTCAGAACAGTCAGGTTTATTTTAATTTATTTAATTTTTATTCTATTTTAGTATAATTATCTATATACCAACCTTATACATATTTTAAAATTGAATTTAGTTTTAGTTCTCTACCGAATGGCTATTAAACTCGTTCTATCAGAACTAGAAAAAATTAACAAATTTAATGACAGTAATTATGATATGTGACATAAAAATAGGATATGTTCTTATTCATGACAATATCGATGATGTAATCGAAACCACTGCTCTAACTCTTACTGATAAATCTACACCTGAAGAAAAGAAAGAGTTTGAACAGTAAAAGTTGAAAGATAAAATGGCGAAAAGCCTAATGCTCATGTTCATGAAAGATAACTTAATCAAAGTTTTTAAAACTTATAAGACTTCCATGGATGTGTGGAATGCAATAAAAAAATACGACACTGCCTCTGAAGTTAACATCCAACTTCTCTTACATAAGTATAATTCTTGTCGTATGCAAGAGGGAGACAATATCGTAGAGCATATAAATAAAATGATTGTCATGGCTAAGAACTTATTCACTACTGGGACCGAAATCCCAAAAAGAATGCAAGTGGCAACTATTTTGAATAGTCTCCCTCCTTCCCTTGCTATGACTGTCACCACATTAATGAATGAACCTTGCCATTAAATCTATTACTGATCTTTCTATACACCTAGTGATAGAATAGAACTTAATAGCCAGTAGGAAAGAACCAGAACTGAATATGATGCAACAAGAGCTGAATTATGTCCGTCAGAGGCATAATACTGGAAGCTATAAAAACCCTGGTTCTAACAAACCACAAACGCGAGGATCGAAGTCACAACAGTTCAAGAGAAAGAAAGTATCTCGTGGAGCCTGCTATAATTGTGAAAACTTCGGGCATTTCAAGCTCAATTGTCCACAAGGTGAAAAATAGGAGAATAAGGGAGGCTATAAGCATCCAGAACAAGGGAGTATTAGCAAAAGAGAATTCGTCGGTGTGACGGAATGCAATGTTGTGATGATGGATATCAGCGGTTGGTGGATCGACTCCGGTGCGACTAAACATATCGCAAATGACAAGAACGGAGTCACAAAATTCACCGAACCGAAGAAAGGAGAACAGAGAATCTATATGAAAATAATACATATCTCAATGTAGAAGGTATTGGTTCGTATAAATTAGATCTTGTGGATAGTATTTTTATCCTCAAAGATGTGTTCTATGCACCACCAATTCGACACAATCTGATCTATGTTCCCAGCTTGATGAAGAAAGGGCTGGAAGTTATGTTCTATAATAACCGGGTTTCTATAGGCAAGAATAATAAAGTGTATGTTATGGGAAAATATGTGGCCGATCATGAATTATGCATTCTTCCAGTAGTCTGTAATAATTTTGATAATAAAATTTTAAATTTAAACTACTTCTCCTGTTATATTTTTGAGTCTGAATTGTGACATTCTACACTAGGACATGTTAGTATTTTAAAAATAAAAGAAATTATCAAAATAAACTTGCTTTCTGCACTATCTAATGTTCAATTGCTACAATGTGAACATTGTTTAACTGGTAAAATGACTAGAAAATCTTTTATTGGCGGACAAAGAGCCAATGAATTTTTAGGGTTGATACACTCGGATATTTGTGGTCCTCTAAGTGTCAAAACTCATAGTAATAAAGAATATTTTATTATTTTTATAGATGATTATCCTAAGTTTGTACATGTCTATCTCATATCTAGAAAATTAGAAGCTCTTAATTACTTTAAAAGATACAAGACAGAAGTTGAAAACCAACTTGGAGTGAAAATCAAAATTTTGAGAACTGATAGAGGTAGGGAATATAACTCTAAAGAATTTAAGAGTTATTGTATTTCATGGAATTAAAAGGCATATAACAATGCCGTATACACCATAACAGAATGGTGTTGTTGAAAGAAAGAACAGAACATTGCTGAATGTAGTTAGATGCATGTTGTCTCATTCTGGTCTCTCTAAAAACTTTTGGAGAGAAGCATTGTTAACTACAAACTACATTCTAAATAGAATTCTCACCAAATCAGTTACATCTACATCTTATGAATTATGAAATAGGAGAAAACCTAATCTGAGTCATCTCAGAAAGTGGGGATCTATAGCCCATGTTCTCATTCCATATCAACTTAGAGATAAGTTGGATTTTAAAATAATAAATTATAGATTCATAGGGTATTCAGAAATGTCAAAAGATTATAAGTTCTATAATAAAGAAAAAGGGGTTATTGAAAGCAGAGATGCTACATTTCTAGAGAATCTAGAGGAAGAGGAACAAGTTCGAGAGGAAACAGAACCTCTAACTGTAATAGATGATGATTATTACAGTGTTGTTCCCACTAATGACCCTGATATTGTGAATGAACCTAACCTTAAAAATGATCAGTGTTGTTCCCACTAATGACCCTGATATTGTGAATGAACCTAACCTTAAAAATGATAAAATACCTATGAAAAATAATATACCTCATCAACCGGTTGTCGGCAACAAAAGGCCAAGAACCCAACCTTCATGGATGGATGATTACTATTTGTATTCATGTGAGACATCCTGTTTCTCGGTAAATACAAATATAGAAGAACAAGATCCCTTAACATTCTCTGATGCGATAAAATCGTATGAATTAGCTTTATGGCTAGAATTCATGAGAGAAGAACTTGATTCTATAAAAAAGAATAAGGTATGAGAGTTATGTGATCTACCGGAAAATAGCAAAGCTATAGGATGCAAATGGGTACTTAAAAGGAAATATCGTGTTGATGGATCTATTGATAAATTCAAAGCACAGTTAGTTGCCAAGGGTTATAACCAGAAGGCAGGAATAGATTTTCAGAAGACGTATTCTACTGTAGCTAAATTTGCATCCATTAGAATTATTTTGGCTATTGTTGCATATCTTGATTTGGAGTTATTCCAAATGGATGTTAAAACTGTATTCATTAACGGAGAGTTAAAGGAAGTAATATATATGCAACTACCTGAAGGTTTTCAGGTGAAAGGATAGGAACATAAAGTTTACGAATTAATAAAATCTCTATATGGTTTAAAACAGTCTTCTAGACAATGGTATTTTAAATTTCATGATGGGTCACTAAACTTGGTTTTATTCAAAATAAATTAGATAATTGTGTATATGTCTTGAAAAGTGGGAGCAAATTTACTATATCATCCTTATATGTGGATGATATATTGCTCGCTGGAAATGACATAGAAATGTTGAATAAAATCAAGACAGATCTCAAATTTGACCTTTGTTTTTTCTTTTTTTGTAATTTTTGTAGGCTTTTTTGATCTTTTGGGAGATACCCATTTGGTGATTTTGGGTGAATTGAAATGGGCAGTTTAGATTTTGGTATAATTTTGATTTATCGATTCGCCCTAAGTATGATCGATTCAATAATTGGGAGGTAACCTTATTATATACTTCTTGCCAAAACATGTATGGAGTTGATATAACATTTTAATACCTGTATGGAGTTCATATAACATTTTAACTTCCTAAATTAATTTTTATTAAAGATAAACGAATTAAACTGAGGTTGGTCATGAAACTAGGGTTTTATCTAAGCCTTATAAGTTCTATCCCAAAGGCAGGTTCCTTGATAACTTGGTGTATAAGCAAATAGAGCTGAGGCACTTCTTACATAAAACGATATATGCGTGTTTGGCAATGAATGATGAAAAATTTGAGTTAAGTGCTGCATAAAAATAAGATTAATACCACATAATTTGATCGAATTAAGTGGTGAGGAAAATGGCCTAAGTACAAGGGACTAGTTATTGGATGTGGTGTCTGATTGATAGAAGGTAAGAGGATAAGTTGTAAGTTACGAAAGCACATTTCATAAACCTGTCCTTGGCAATGAATATTTCCTCAATTTGTTGAACTCAGTTAAATATTTACATCCCAAAAAATTATGCTGAGGTTGTTCCTTTGTATGTTGTTACTTTATATCTTGCACGAGCTTTGATAAATCTCCCACTGTATAACTAATTTTGATGATCTCTCAGTATACAACACTATCAGTCATATAATAAGCACAGCAGATTCGTTATTTTTCTTTACTTATGTTTTTGGGATCTTGGTCTTCTTTCAATTAACTTTTACTTGTTCTTGGTTTCCAGTTTTTAAAACATAAGCGGCAGGATGCACTTTTTCAGGCATTACAGAAGCTAAAAGAAGGTTAGCAACCAATGTCCTTGTTTTATTTGATCGAACAAGCACCTTTACATGCTTTCTCTAGTGTTTACTGGGTTCTGCTTTGGGTTAGTATATTAAAATTCTAGCGGTATATGTATGATGTATCCACTGATGCATATCGGGGGAATTAGAGTTGTCTTCAACTTCTTTTTCTATTGTTATTTCTCTCCATCTGATGGCATCTCCAACCCAGCACCAAAATGGTGTAAACAGTGCATTTTTTGGCATTGTTCCTTCTCCAACCCTGCCCCATTTCCTGCGTCATTTTGGTGCATTTGAACAGTGCTGCACCAAATACGGAGTCGCACTGTTCATCGCTTCATTACTGTTCATGTGTTATTTAAATTTATAAAACAACACCAATAATATTTAAATTTTATAATTTTACTCCAATTGTATAATTTGGACAAAATAAATTATTTTTTTAATTATAAAAACAATGTTAAAATTGAAAAGACATTATTATTAATTATAATATTAAAATCTAGACATTATAATTAAAAGTAGATAAAAAGGAATATGTGAAAAAAATAAAATTTGATATGTGGGGTTAATTGTTGAAATAGTTAAAAATATAGGGAATAGAAAATAATAATATAAAAGTAGATGAAAAGGAATATACTGAGAATATTCTTTTTTGGTGTAAAAAATGGTGCAGTGGGTTGGAGATGAATTACTGTTAGATGTGATTTTTGTACCATTTTGGTGCAAAATTTGCACTATTTTGGTGCAATGGGTTGGAGATGGTCTGATGGCACCGTGAAACTGTACACCCTCCTTAAAAACTGACTTTGCAATGGAAATTGCATGACCTAGTTATTTTTGCACGTCATGAGTTCTAAAGCTTCACATGCACGATAAAATAGGTCGTCACTATCATATGAACTTCATAGCCAAGGTAGAAGAAGTAGATAGCTTGACCCATATGTTGCTTAGTTTATGTCAGCCTTTAAACTAGGAGACGTGGTTCGTAAATGTTCAAATCACAAATTAGCTCATCACGTAGTTACACTGGCATAGCATGTTGCCATGCTTGTGTCTGAAAACTCGAGTTCACTTAATGCATATTTCTATCATACTATTTAATGATTTTTCCTTAAAGTCTTATTCTACCGCTCTAATGTTCTCTCTGACTGACTGACTGCTTTTGGTGTTTCTTTGCAGAGTTGATGCTCCTTGGCTTTATTTCCCTGTTATTAACTGTATTTCAGAGTTTGATCAGTGAAGTGTGCATTGTGAAAAGCGCTACATCTCAGATGCTTCCATGTGAGAAAAAAGGTCTTGCTGGAGTGATGCATAATGAAGGATTTTTAATGGGACATACATTGAAGACGCGGAAGCTTTTGTCTGAAGGTGATAGCTCAAATATTTGCACAGGTCAGGTATGTTTTCCTAAACTTTAGCATTGTTCCAAGATTGTTTTAATGAGAAAAAAAATTAATACTGAGAAAGACAGGTCCAAAGAAATTGGTCATGATGACTAGTAAAAAAAATAATACCACGTTACATGAGTATGATTGGCGAGGAAGTTGTAATCATTAGAAAATGCATGCAATGCGTATAAGCAAATGCATCTTGATTGGATTCTTGTGTTCCTGAAAATTTACAATTGAAATTTGAATGCATTATGACATTGGACGACATGATATAGTACTATTTATGGGGCCATGTAGATAATCTTGGATCGTTGGAAGGGATTTCAACGTCATACATTTTATATCGAAGAAAGGGAAAAAGATAGCAGTGGTAGAAGGAGTTTCAACACTCTCATTAATGACTTATGTTTTACAAAATCTATTTGACTTCACCTGGAAAAAGGAAGCTTCTAGTAATGACGTTTGGGAAGAGGCGTAAGTTTGGGAACGTTAAAGCCCCAAAGAGTCAACTTCTCAGCGATATTGACTTTTGAGAAGGAAGAAAAGAAGAGGCAGTTGAATGATCATGAGGTGCCCAATCTTGAGAACCTTAGGAAGTTCACACAAAAGCGTTTAGCAAGGAGAGTCAAAAGACTAGGGTTAAATGAGTTAAACAACCTTCAAATTGTTACCTCAGGAATTGCAACATTGTTGCCTAAATGTAAAAGGCCGAACCGTCTATGTAAAAGGATTGTGTTCATTTTGTTGAATCTATAGAAAGTGCATGAACTATATGTCCTGTATAGCTCTCTATTGCACCTTCTACACAAGTTCATCAAAAGACACGCACGCGCACACACACGCACACACACACAAAAATTAGCCATATTGGGTTGTAGTTACTCATGCATCAAGTGATTGTAAAATTAACGGTTTTACAACAATATAACTAAAAAGACAATGAAAATTACGTGTTAGAAGTATTTACTCATGCATCAAATGATTGTAAAATTAACGGTTTTACAATAATATAACTAAAAAGACAATGAAAAATGTGTTAGAAGTATTTAATCATTATGTATTTTATTTTATAGATGTTTTGAGACATTTAGATTACAATGAATGGAGCGGATCATCAATTGGAATAGTCTAATTCATGAATCAAGTGGTGCTATATTAGATTGAATTTAACGTGCCACCTTATGAACATTTTTCCATATATATATATATATATATATATATATAAATGTAAAAACACAAAATACGTATATACATACGTATATACGTATATACATACGTATATACGTATATACATACGTATATACGTATATACATACGTATATACGTATATACATACGTATATACGTATATACATACGTATATACGTATATACATACGTATATACGTATATACATACGTATATACGTATATACATACGTATATACGTATATACATACGTATATACGTATATACATACGTATATACGTATATACATACGTATATACGTATATACATACGTATATACGTATATACATACGTATATACGTATATACATACGTATATACGTATATACATACGTATATACGTATATACATACGTATATACGTATATACATACGTATATACGTATATACATACGTATATACGTATATACATACGTATATACGTATATACATACGTATATACGTATATACATACGTATATACGTATATACATACGTATATACGTATATACATACGTATATACGTATATACATACGTATATACGTATATACATACGTATATACGTATATACATACGTATATACGTATATACATACGTATATACGTATATACATATACGTATATATGTATGTATACATACACACACACGTGTGTATGCATACATACACACACACACACGTGTGCATGTATACATACACACGTGTGTGCATGTATACATAATTACATACACACGTGTCTGTATCTCTATACATATGTATGCATATCTATACATATATATGTATGCATACGTACATACATATGTGTATGCATACATACATACGTACGTGTGTATGTATACATACATACATACGTGTGCATGTATACATGCACACGTGTATGCATGTATACATACACACGTACGTATGTATGTATACATACACATGTATGTATGTATGTATACATACACACGTGTATGCATACACGTACGTATGTATGTATACATACACACGTATGTATGTATGTATACATACACACGTGTATGCATGTATACATACACATCTACGTGTATGCATGTATACATACATACGTGTATGCATGTATACATACACGCGTGTATTGCATATATAGATTATATTATTATATATGTACTGTTATGCCATATATATATATATATGTATGTATGCATGCATATATATATATATATATAATGTATGCATATATATATGTATGTATGCATATATGTATTGCATGATGTATACAATCATATATGTATGCATGCTATATACATACATACATACGTGTATGCATGTATACATACATATGTTTGTATGCATATATATATATATATATATATATATATATATATATATATATATATATATATATATATATATATATATATATATATGTATTAGTATGTATGCATATATGTATGCATGCAGCTATACATATATATGTATACAGTACGTATATACGTACGTATGTATACGTACGCTACATATATATATATATATTATATTATTATATATATATATATATATATATATATATATATATATATATATATATATATATATATATATATATACATACATACATACATATGTAGGCACACACATGCGCACACGTGTATGTGTTTATTGGCTTATGAGATGTCCCACAGTTGTGCATTTTTAGTATGCTATTGTGGTAGTCTTGTGACTCAAATTAATTATTTGTTTGTTGATATTGCATTTTTTGCACATACTATGTGATGTCGAAAATGTGGTTGTAGTCTCATTGCTTTTAGTGTTGGTCAGCAGATAAAGACTTTTGAGCGTAAACTACAAACTGACTTCAGTTTTTTAACTTATTTCAGGGCAAGGTTCCATTGTTGTCCATTGAAGCATTACATCAGCTGCATATCTTCATCTTTGTGCTTGCAGTTGTCCATGTTGTGTTCTGTGCCACTACTATGGTTTTAGGAGGAGCCCAGGTAAAATCATGCTGTGCATTTAATTTCTACAATCTGATAACAAGTATTTACTTAAATGTCTTTGCATACAAGATTAAACCTGTGACCACTTTGTAGATTAGAAAATGGAAGCACTGGGAGATAGCAATTCAGAGAGAGATTTCAAATTGTAATAACTTTTCCAATGTTTGCTTCACTTTAGATTCTTCTTTCATACTTCCACTGATGATTAACTAATGTTGTTTTCGAATGAAATCAATAACAGTACCAAGTTTTGAACATCCGCACCATCGCCACCACCACCTTGAGTTTGTCTCAGCACGTACAAAAGGGTACTGGAGAAAGTCAGTTGTTGTAAGCTGGATTGTAAGTTTCTTCCTCATTTTGTTTGGTATCTTAGATTAAACTGCTTGATCTTTATTTTCTACAGTTATCGGTGTCATTGCCCCTTCTATTGACCTGTATAAATTAAACATCAATTGTTATTCTTCCTTTCTTTTGCCAAGTCAAGTCTGATTTAACATATAGTAATATAAATGACAACCTTTGACAATGGAAGTCATAGGAAAACGATTTTAATTTAAC